CTGAGCTTAGACTACAATAGTTGCAGCAACCATTCAACATTCACGAACCTTAGATATAGGCGACGATGTGCATAAATATATTTTGGATCTTTTTTGCAAAACCGGAAGTGCCACATTTCAATATATGGAAGAATAGATAATCGGCTCTAGAAGTCGTATTTTTCGGTCGATTTTCTTTGGGTTTGCATTTTTGGAATCTACTGTTAAAATCTGAAAGAATAGCAGTTTCAAAATTTCAAAATTCGAAAATTTGTAGCAGACATTTTTTTTGCCAAATTTTGCATTTTTTTCATTTTTTTTGCTTTTTGTCTGATTAATCTGAAAAAAATTGAGCAAAGACAGTTTAAGAATGTAAACAAAATGGTACAGTCAAATTTTCAATTTCACTTCCGGTTTAAACAGGAAAACGATGTTCACTTCCCGTTGAATATCTTCCGGTGACAAAAAAACGAAGAAAAAAAAATCCGGAACAGACGTGAAACTTTGGCCGCCATTTTGATTTTTCTGAAATGATTCGATTTTTATTCAGACATAATGGCTCATCCGATTTAAATGATTTTGGTGTCAAATGAAAGAAGATAAAAAAAAAAAAAAAATGACATTAGGAAGCCGTTTTTCGATTCTCAATTTTGCTTTTTTGCAACATCCGGTTGAATTTTTTCAAAGTTTGAAGGGTCATATCTCGTGATTGTGAACTTTGATGACCTTGACCTTCATAAGGTCAAAGGTCATTGACCTTAGCTATCAGTTAATACTTTGACATTTGACCTCCGACATGTACTTCCGGTTTTATAGCTGTCCGAAAACAGCCAAATTCGCAACTTTGGACTGCTCTAGTACGTGACCTATTTAACCTAGAGGGTTAATTTTTTTGGATTCTTAATGTGCTTTTCATGCTCTTTCAAATGATTTATAACAATCGTTTTTTAAAGCAAAATTGAAATTCGTGAATTTTTCAAATTTGAGTTTTTTTTTACAATATTTCTGTTTCTTTGAGCTTGGTGTGTATATATCCTATGACCTATTTTATGTAGAACATTGAAAAACTTGGAACATAACAAGACAATTTGAATATAAATTAACCTATGACAAAAAAGTTGAGGTGGGCGTGGCACATCCGGGTTGAATTACTAATTGTTTACATTTTGAGAAAGGGGCATAACTCGCATAGGATACATTTGTTCAAAAAGGAACTTTGCACACAATTACCTCATTATTTTGGCCAGTTTGTGTTAATAGGTCAATTGTTTCAGCTTTATAGTTCCAAAAAAGGAACGGGTTTTGAAATTTCCATATTTTCAATTTTCTATTTTGACCTTTATTGACTCTTGTTGACCTATATCTTTTGACCTGTATGATGTAGAAGCTTTAAATTTGGAACACAACTTAACATTCAGAATATCAATTAACCTATGCAAAAGAAATTGAGGTGGGCCTAGCACATCCGGGTTAAATTACTCATTATTGACAATTTTGGCAAGGGATATAACTCGCAACGTATACATTTGTTCAAAATGGAACTTTGCATACAATTACTTCATACGTTGAGCCACGTTGTCTTGGAAGTTCGATTGTTTCAGCTTTATAGTTCAAAAAAAGGAACAGCTTTTGAAAATTCAAAATTTCAATTTTTGACCATGACCTTTTTTGACCCTGATTTTTGTAGGATTAAAGGTCATTCACATTGGCTATCTATTTATACTTTTATATTTGCTGACCTATCTCAACTTCCGGTTTTATAGCCGTATATATTTAAAAATTTTGATGACTTTTATCTCGTAACCTTGACCTTTGTTGACCGTCTCCCTTTCAATGTCAAATGTCATTGACCTTGGCTATCTTCTGATACTTTCATTTGTGCGGTCTGTCTACTTCCGTTATAACAATCTTCCAAAGAATTCTTCTCAACTTTAGACTGCTCTTGCGCGTGATGTAATTATCGTAGAAGGTTGATTTTTTCAGAGTCTTTTGCAATTTGCTACATTTGCAAAGTCCCACTCTGTGCCACGTGTGGCTCTAGTGTTATTGTTGCTTTGTATGAAATATAAGTCAGATTTTAATTTTGAAAAGTGACACATTAGATGCATAAACACTGTAGTCTCTACCGTGCCTACAAGCCAAATTTGACGCTTTTTTACTAAGTCAAGGGCAATAACTCCGAAACCCTTCATCCGAATAATACCGATTTCGACCTCACCGAGATCTTATCAATATATACATACATACCAAGTTTCATCAAATTCGGATAAAACTGTAGCCTCTATTGTGCCTTCAGGCCGAATTTGACGAGTTTTTACTAAATCTAGATCAATGAACCACAAACCCTTCATCCGATTGTTACCAATTTCGAACTAGACTGATATCTCAACAATATATACATGCATACCGAGTTTCATCAAGATCGGATAAACACTGTAGTCTCAATCGTACCAGCAAGCCACATTTGAGGAGTTTTTATTAAGTCAATGGCAATAACTCTGAAACCCTTCATCCGAATAATACCAATTTTGAACTGCGATCTCATAAATATATACATGCATACCAAGTTTCTTCAAGATCCTATAAAAACTGAAGTCTCAATCGTGCCTACAAGAAATGTGAACGGACATTTCCATGCGGGCGTATAACAAATTATAATTAAACCACTACAGACTTTATCATTTCTGACAGCTGGTATAAGCTATCTTTTTATAAACGCGACAGTAATGATCAGAGTTGGATGAAACTTGGAACGAATATGTAATTGATAAGATCGTCGTGTTGTTACTTCATACTTATTCGTACTGTATACATGTATTTGTTTTGTAGGTATTGGATACATTGCTGCCAGAGAAATAGCTCGTATGGGAGGTCATGTTATTATTGCTTGTAGAAATATGGTTAAAGCCGATGAGGTATGATGATCTATGAATTTGATGAAACTTGGTATGCATATATATATTGATGAGATCTCGGTCAAATTCGAAATAGGTATTTATCGGATGAACGATTTCATAGTTATTGTCCTTGACTTAGTGAAAACGCGTTAAATTTGGCTTGTATGCATGATAATGGCTTTTTTTATCCGAACTTGATGAAACTTAGTATGCATGTATATATTGATGGGATCTCGGTCAAGTTCGAAATTTGTTTAATCGGATGAACGCTTTCAGAGTTATTGCCCTTGACTTAGTAAAAAGGATGCACGATCAAGGCTACAATTTTTATCCGATCTTAATAAAACTTAGTATGCATGTATACATTAATGAGATTTCGGTCATGTTCGAAATTGGTAATAATCGGATGAACGGTGTCGGAGTTATTGCCCTTGACTTAATAGAAAGCGTCAAATTTGGCTTGTAGGCACGATAGAGGGTGCAGTTCTTATCTGATCTCGATGAAACTTAGTTTGCATGTACATATGGATGAGATCCCAGTAAAGCTTGACATTAGTAAGAATCCAATAAACAGTTTCGCAGTTATTGTCCTTGACTTTGTAAGAAACGCGTCAAATTTGGCTTGTAAGCACAATAGAGACTACAGCTTTTATTCGATCTTGATGAATCTTAGTATGCATGTAGATACTGATGAGATCTTAGTCAGGTTCAAAATTGGTAATATGTGCATGAACGGTTTCAAAGTTATTGCTGTAGTGTGTACTCAATAAGACTTTGTTCATGTTTTAATTTGATGATAATTTAATAAACTGTCATTTATGACAACTGGTAGAGGGCGTATGTTACCTTGCCTGGCAAGCTATCTTTTTTTGATGTCAAATATATATACATAGAAGACAAAATCAAAATTTCAAAATCAACTCAATAATTCATATCTACATTTTTAGAAAAGATATTGTCCATGTTGAAAATTATCGGCGTCATAAATTTTGGATTGTTCTGTGCTTCTGATAATTTCAATGAATAATTCTGATTTTAGTGGAACTGTTATCACTAAATTTAATGTTGTTGTGACGAAATATGTGACTTAATTTTTTCAGGCCATAAAACGAATACAAGAAGAATATGAAGAACATTTAACATCGAAACAGTCCCCAGCTGATATTTCAGAACTTAAGAAAATAAACGTTGAGAAAATGGAATTAGATTTGGCATCATTTGCATCTACCCAAAGCTTCATAGAATCGTTCAAAGCTCGAAATTGTGCTTTAAATGTTTTGATTTGTAATGCAGGAGTTGTAACTGACAAAGGTAAGGAAAGTAATAGATACATGAAGATGTACATATAATATATTGATAGAGATTATCTATGTAAATGAGCACAGCAATTCACACCCGCGTGCAGTTATATTACGCAAAATGTATGATGAAAAGCCACTTGCTGCTGTAAATTATACGAAGAACCATTGGTCTTAAGCAGACGAAGTTCAGATTTTTTGGTTTTTTCCGTAACCAGATCAGTGTTTAGTTTTCTTTTCAACGCTGTAGTATTTTATAGTTTTTAACATAGAGGTTATCCAGGACCGGTTTACATGGATTTTTCTATGGAACATATATTTTTTTAAAGAACAATTGTTTTTTTATACGACCACATTACAATGTGGACGTACATTGTCTTCGCCCCTGTGCGTCCAGCGGTCCGTCCGTCTACAATTGGCTGGTGAACACAATAGAGGCTACAGTTTTTATCTGATTTTTGTTTATGAAATTTGGTGTGATCTCTTATATTGATGAGATCTTGGTCAAGTTGGAATTTGACGATTTTTCGATGAACTGTCCATTAGTTATTGCCCTTGACTTGATAACGCGCCAAAATTTGTGTTTGAACACAATTCAGGATACAGTTTTCATCTGATTTTGGTATGACAATTTTGATGAACCGTTATTTCCCTTTACTAAATAAAAACGTGTCTGTGTTTGTGAACACGATGGAGGTAACAGTTTTAATCCGATTTTATTGAAATGCGCTGTTATCATTTAAAATGGTAAGATTTTGATCAGATTCGAAGTTGACCAGTTATTGCCATTGATGTAGTAAACACGCGTTTGTGAACATGATAGAAACTAAAATTTTCATCTGATTTTAATGAAATTTGGAATGATCATCTGTAACAATGAGTTCTTGATCAAGTTAAAATTTGACGATTTTTTGATAAACTGTCCTTTACTTATCGCCCTTGACTTAGTAAAATGCACCAAAATTTGTTCATGAACACAATACAGACGACAGTTTTTTATCTGATTTTAATGATAAACAAAAATTATGTTAAATGTTGCTTGTGAATGCGAAACAGATGACATTTTAAGGCAGAATACAGAATCAGAATGAAATTTTGTGTTTAAGTTAACAGTATCTTGGACAAGATAGATTTTTGGTACGATTTGACACAGATTGACGATTTATCAAAGAAGTGGGCTTATCTTGCAGGTCAACTACTTGTTTAATATTGTAGCACAACTTTACAAAACTACTCTTTTTTTTATTTTGTGCCAACCAACAACATGTTATTTATTTTCCTTTGAAGAAATTACAGAAGATAACCACGAGTTGATGTTACAAGCCAATTTTCTATCTCATTTCATTATAACTGTACATTTATTACCCATTTTACTGAAATGTGGTGAAGACAGTAGGGTGGTTAATGTTTCGTCTCTTGGGCATATGAATGGAAAACTTGATATAGAAAACATGGATGGAGAAAAGAGCTTTGGTCAATTGTCCTTCTATTGCAATTCTAAACTTTATCAGGTAATCATTTTATTCACATCAATGTGTAGATCAAACTTAAACAGGAGCTCAAGTCGACTAACGATTGACAGCATCTCATCAGATCAATTACTTACGATCAACCGAATGGTCGCAAACCACTCAGGTATAAACCAAATCTAATTTCTGTTAAAAAGTGTAACATGAACAACTAATTGCATCTGGCGGAAAAAGCTGACGGTGCCCTTTGGTTGACTTCATGTGGTGATTGACCAGATTCTCCTCGACTCGCTAGTTGTTAGCAGTCCTTGAAAAGCATTTGTTCTCATAGTCTACCAGGCTATCCTTCAGAAAAACTTGCAGCAGCTTATTGGACATGCCTCTTGGAAGAAAAAGAAAAAAAAATTTGTTTCTTTTCTAAAGGTTATGTCAATGTTTTGGTTAAGCAGACATTTAAAAGATAAATCAGTTTCTATAATAAGTTTACATCCAGGTTTTGTTGATACCCAAATGACCCGGAAAAGTAAATATATTAAGTATTTCGTATCAGGTAAGACTGTCTGAAGACATATAAATCATCATGTGGTCATCTAGAGTGGTTAGTTTGTTATTTAGTAGATTTATAGTATAGTCTATTCTCAATCTGTATTTGACACATGTATTCTATGATGGTTCTGCTGGTACAAAATATTGTCATACATTATATACATTCTTGAAACTATTATTTTAATCCATTATTTTCCTAGAATAATGAAAAATAATTTGGCTATGATAATCAAGGATACTTCAACAATGATGAGTTCATGCTAACTATTTTGGAACACCGTCATGCATGTGCAGGTATTCCTGATTCTAAACAGCTAATATTGTTCATTCGGTACATTACATTACATAAGTGGTTATTTTGATAAAAGGATATTTTTGCATTCAGGTTTTGCCAAAAAGGCTGTTGATGGTGGTGCTACAACTATAAAAGCTGCAGTAGACCCAAATTTACAAAGTCAATCAGCTATTTATCTTGATGTATGTAAAATTAAATCTCCATCAAGTCTATCCAGGTAGGTGAAATATTTAATTCTGAAGTTCTAACACTGCCCCATGAGAGAATCTTATAAACATGTGGGCAGATTAGTCTATTCATTTTCGACCTCCACCAGTATCGTATCAATGTATTATTCTGTTTAACTGTTTTCCATTCCATCCGAGGATGATCGAGTTAAGTCGGAGTAAACCTTACATTTAGCGGACACTGACAAAATATTGAAGATTTTAATTGGTTGAAATATTTTCCAGGAATACTGAGAAACAAGAATTATTGATGAAATACACACTGGATGTTGTCAAAGATTACCTACCACAAGATATACATGACTATTTAGATTTCTAATTCTCCAGGGTACACACTACTAAAAGTAAAATTTAAAAAGGGAGTGTAGAGAATTTGTATATTACCTCGCAAGTTAAAACTACCTTGATTGACTACAGTTTAATTTTATTTACTTGGAACCCAACGACGAAATTTAAATCTGAAAAATAAATAACATGTTTTAAACGACCTTGTCCTTATCAATACATATGATGTATGATTGCATAATAGATGTTTTATATAACTTACCATACTGTCCAAACCACGCCCCATTCATCATACTTCAAGACAATGCCAAAACTCGTATTCGGCATGCGATGTGTTTTTACATACATATAATATAGATATATTATAAACTGAAGGCCAAAAGAAACTTTACCATGGTTTTAAAACACCTTAGATCAACAAATCAACACAATATTAAAGATTGGATTGAAATGTACAGTGGGGGATATGTCGGGGGAACAACCATGTCACGGCAACGCGTTGATATTGTTGACTCCAAGTAGTCAGTTATGATTTTGTGTAAGGGGTCGGGCGTTGTGATGCGGATATATGACAACGTGTGTTGGAGAAATGGTAAGATTGTCGGTAGTGTCCATGAACGATAAGTTGAGTCCTGCCAACAGATCTCTCCCCACACCATGACACCCCATCATACCACCTCTTGAATTCAACGCTATTATCACTGAAGACGATGATGTTGAGCTGCCAATGGCTGTCCTCTGTACACTCTGTTAGGCCCGATTCATGACACGGTCTGTCGATTAACCTTGTGACCTAATACTTGAGCTCGCTGATAACGTCACTGTCGGAAACAAGATCGAGAAGCAAGGTACGCAAATACAGGTTATGTTCTGCCCGTTTTATGCCCGTAAGACGCGTTCCCTGCCTGCCTGTAACGGTGCATAAAGTTTGTTACAGTAACACATGAACAACCGAAGGTTGAACAAATCGAATGCTTGGTCCTCCCCACAGGCCTCTTTCAACCACACACTGTTCTGTAAAACGTTCACCTCTTCTTCGCCACACTCGTACTCTGCCATCTGCGGTGGAAATGGAGTACATACTCTCATCTGAGAACACATCGATCCTCCACTACTGATGCCGCCAATGTTGTCGTTGGATGACCTACTTAAAACGTTGCTGACATGATGGGGAGTGAGCACCAGACCCCTGGCCAGAACGGTATCAGCATTGATTAGATGCTGATGGTGGCCAATGGTCTGACGAGCACTCTGTGCCGCTGTGGTGAATCTGTCATGCAGATGTTGCCGCAAGATTAAGCTATCCTGTCTTGGTGTTGTGACTCGGGGAAGATCACTACGTGGACGGTCTTCGAAATCTTTGAAATGGTTCGTAGACTCCAATTAAATGCATTGGCAATGACTTGAGAACGTTGTCCGGAATTTAATCGTCCGATGGCTTGTTCACTTTGTTGGGAGGTTAGACGTGCCATGAGCTCACTGTCTTCACAGCAATTAAATTCTCAGTAGGGGTCAGTTTGTTTTTAATTTGAATGTCATAAACTGGCCTATTTAAAGTCTAAAAATCATATTTATAAAGGAAAATAACATTTTTGATGGTGCACGACATTGTCAACATAATCTAAAAATGCGGCATTTCTTTATCTCTTCAGTATAGGTGTTTAATGATTTTGTTTTAACCTGTAAAATGTTTTTTTTTTATTGTATTTTTAACTGTTATAATATTTAAAAGAAGTATCTACTCTGAAATCTGTAATATATTGTACTTCCAAAATGAATTCCTACTTTTCTTCTACAATAATATTTTAAAATCTTTAAAATTTGGTATTTTCATTGTCTAACATGTTGAATGTTATTCTCGATATCTCATATTTTTCAAATCTACTGTTCTAAATTTTGTAGAAAATAATGACGTCTTCGACAACCTTCTCTTGAGATATGGAGCCATCTTGTTTCAAGATTTCCCTATCGATTGTCCAACTGCTTTTGATCATTTCGTGAAATTATTCGGATTGGATCCTCTACCGTATGTTGGTGCTGCTGCTCCAAGGCGAGTGATAGTTGGTAATGTTTTTACCGCTAATGAATCTCCACCTGATCAGCCAATCCCGTTTCACCACGAAATGGCCCAAGTACCAATTTTCCCCAAAGTTCTCTTCTTCTACTGCGACGTTCCGCAAGATAGAGAGGGCAGACACCATTGGTCATCTGCAATGAAATTTACCGAGCCATGAACGAACGAAATCCTGAATTTGTCCACGACTTAGAAGAGAAAGGAGTAAAATATACTCGAGTACTACCTGACGGGGATGACCCTACGTCTCCGATTGGACGTGGCTGGCAGTCTACGTTTGGTACTACGGATAAAGCGGAAGTGGAAGAGAAATGTTGAGCACAGGCTACTTCCTGGGTGTTTGAAAACAGGGACAGCAGTTTTAACAGCAATGCGAGAAGATACCGGAACTGGCAACAAGACGGTCATAGCAGCTTACACTGGTTTGGAAGGATTGCAGAAATAATCTGGAAACACCAGGCATCCAAAGCCTTCTAGAGAGATGTATCAGAGACGACTCATCGCATGGATTTTACAATTGGTAGGGTATTTTGTCGGATATTGCTAGTTGTTCTCTGTATTTGATGTATATAAATGTAGATATTTTAATCATAAAATGTGTCTGTTCTTAGTATAGTGATTCTTGAAGGAAGAGAAACCCAACCCTGCAGATATTTGTCCATGTCAACTTAGGGTTTATTGTACTCAACGTTTCAACAATTTACATGGTCATTAATGGCGACAAGGTAAATTGTTAAAGCGCTATTAAATAAAACACATGGGTAGAAGGCCTATACCAAAATATTGTGTTCAGTTATTTAATGTGACCCTACCCCAAAATGTCGTTTGAGGATAATGTTTGCAAAAAGTGTATCACCTAATACAAGCTCTTGAGCATTCCCCACGTACTTCCTATGACGCTTCGAATGTGTCTGTTTTGCCTAATTTAATGTTTTGTACATCGGAAAATAAGGGTATTCAATTAATCTGGAAGGGAGAGAGATCAAGACACCTTAGTGGGCTCGACAGGCAATAATGAATAACATCTCATCGAGATCTGATGGGACTGATCTGTCCGAATTTGGTCAGAAAGACATAAAACGAAACTCAATTTGTCAAAAGCCGTGCACAAATTTGGGAATGACGACAATTGAATAATTCGAAACAAGTTTGTAATTCGTGTAGGGTCATTTTACTAATTTTGACAATCAAATGATATGATTTGATTATTAAGTAGTTTATTATCACCATCAACAGGGAGAAATTGATTGACAGGGGGAAATCTATACATTCTGAAACGGGGGTAATCCAGAATTTGGAAAAGGGGCACAGAGCCCTCGGTTGAAGTCGGTCTTCTGCTTTGAAAAGATAATACAATGTTCCAATTTCGCTAACGTTGCAACCAGTGTTTGAACTACCACAGAGACTTCCCTTAGCATTTAGTTAAGCCAACTGACTGGGGAAGGAATCAAGATAATGGGAACTGATAGAACCTCTAATATTGCTCTCAATTCCATGGGCATGATGGGTTATTTGTCAGTGACCACTAATAATTAAATCACATCAATTGATTTTGCAGTGTTATTATAACTTACGTCACCCTCTGATCTCGATGTACCATTATCCAACATTTAGTTCACTAACATAACTTTACACTAATAAACATAAATATTATAAATGTGTTCTAAAATATTTGAGTCATTCTGCCTCTTATTTGTACCACCCCTCTCGATGGTAGCAAAATTTCGTGCAAACATCCCCCCCTCCCCCCTTCCAAATAGGCTTTGGGCCGTTCGCCTATGTTGAAATTGGTATAGCTCTTTCAATTTTCAAACGATTTTCGCAATTTTCGATTTTTGTTTGTAGGCAGGCCTAAATGATCTAACAATAAGGATCTCGTTTCACCAACCGTGTACCGAATATGGCCATTATTATTTAATCCACTATCTTTAAATTTACTGTGGTTTAATCTGTTCTATTGAAATCATATTTGTATCTTTTGCACTTTTTCGTCCCAGAATTTATTGCCACATTTATGTAGTCACAAAGTCAAAGCTTTTCAGTAAATTTTCTAATTATCTTATTTGAGGGTAGCCAGATTTAGGCCTAAAACTTGAATAATGCTGAATTTTATTGTAACAGTAACGCTATATCCCTTTAAATTTCTGGGTAATATTTGGCGCGAATCTAGCAATCATGTTATTTGTTCCGTTAAGAATTAAAGGTCCCCTTCCGTGAAATTTACTTCACAAACATGTGAATTTGGCAATTTTTTCCCTCGGTAACTTAACGAAATATACTTTATTCGTTGATCCAAAGATTTTTGAACAGGTTTTAGACTTTACAAAGGATTTTTACGTCCAGTACCTCTATTCAAACTTCTTTCAATCAGCCACTCTGAAATATTGGTGGATCTTTTCCTTTAATAATTTATCAACTTTCACAAAATTGACGAGGTGACAGTTTAAAACCATCAGAAACTCAAAACAATTTTTGGCGGGAAGAGTTGACACGTAGAGCACATGGGTGCAGACTTTTGGCTGCTGATTGGCTGAAATTCAAATTGTGAATCAAAAAGTGGGAGGAGTTTAACGTAAAATCATCGTTTGCATATCCAAAGGTGCGCATTTCTAAGAGGGATTTCGGTCTTATCAGTCGTAACTTATGACTTATGATATATTCTGTATTGGATTCTGGATGATTTTGAATTATTTCGATATATTCAGTGCTAAATCTTTGACTAATATCTGTGGATTGGGATTTATTTGATACTATCTGTATTATTCTGGATGGTTTAAGATTATGTTGTGATATTTCTATAAAATAATGGATTTAACGATGACACTTTTGGAAGGAGTGACAAATATTGCAATTGTTTCTATATACTGACGGGTCTGACGTGTTTACTGACGTACTGACGTGTGATGGAGACCTTACTCAAATATTGGATACTTTTTCACAAGAAGGTAAGCCATTTTCTTAATTCAAATTTTGATTGGAAACGTGTAAGGAATATAAACTGGTTTTCAAGAAATAGTGACACCGATAGCATCGATTTGTACCATTCCAATTTTCAGTCAGACCTGTTTTCTTTTTTCCGATTCCACTAAAACTAGACTTTTTTTGACGTCACCATTGCCGAATCTGCTATGGGAAATTAACGTTATCAAAAGCAAATTTGCAAAAGTTTAAAAAAAAAAAAAGAAGT